CCCTCGCGCTGCATCTTCTTCTTCAGCGCGCGCAGGGCCTGATCGACGTTGTTTTCACGAACCGTGACGTGCACGTTGCCTCGACCTCCTCGTCGATATCTGGCGGTTCCTGGTCGGCATTGCGCCCGCCGCAGATCGCAGCCGTCACGAGCTGCCCACCCTTCAGGCGGGCCAAAGCCGGACGGAGCTGCGGGTGAACGCAACAACCCGCCGGCAGGGCCTGGCGGGAGGACGCTATATACCACCGTCAAGGGACGTTGAAAAGGGGCCGTCGCGGCGCGCCGGGCCCGATCCGCCTGGGTCCGGCGGCGCTTGCGCGGTGGACGCGGCGCCGGGCCGACGCCATATTCCCGGCCATGGCTATCCTGAAGATCGCCCGCATGGGCCACCCCGTGCTGCTGCGTCCGGCCGCCCCGGTGGAAGAGCCGACGGCGCCGGAGGTGCGGCGGCTGGTGGCCGACATGCTGGAGACCATGCAGGACGCGCCGGGCACCGGCCTGGCGGCGCCGCAGGTGCATGTGCCGCTGCGCGTGGTGATCTTCACGGTCTCGCCGGAACGCGCCCGGCGCGAGGGCGGCGCGGCCGTACCACTGACCGTGCTGGTCAACCCGGAGATCGAGCCGCTGGGCGCGGAACGCAGCCTCGGCTGGGAGGCCTGCCTGTCGGTGCCCGAGCTGGCCGGCCTGGTGCCGCGCTGGAGCCGCATCCGCTATCGCGGCTTCGACCTGGACGGCGAGCGGGTCGAGCGCGAGGCGGAGGGCTTCCACGCCCGGGTGGTGCAGCACGAATGCGACCATCTCGACGGGCTGCTCTATCCGCAGCGGATGGAGAACCTCAAGGATCTGGTCTTCACCTCGGAGCTGAAGCACTGGGGCGGCCGAGCGCCGAGCGACGGCGCCCAGGAGACCCGCGACTCGGGCCCCGACTGGAAGCCCGGCTCCCCGATCAAGGAGGCGTCATGACGGAGCAAGAGGCGATCGCGGCCCAGCGCCGGGAGCTGATGGAGGCGGCGCTGCCGCACGTCGCCTTCGACGGTTGGAGCGAGCAGGCGCTGGTCGCCGGGGCCCGCGACCTGGCGCTCTCGCCGGCCGAGGCGCGCAACCTCTTCCCCGACGGTGCGCGCGAGCTGCTGGAGCTGTTCAGCGCCGAGCTGGACCGGCGGATGCTGGAGGAGATGGAACGCCAGCCGCTCGCCGAGATGCGGGTGCGCGACAAGGTCGCCCTGGGGGTGCGCACCCGGCTGGAGCTGCTGGAGCCCTACCGCGAGGAGGTGCAGCGCGGCCTCTCCTTCCTGGCGCTGCCGCCGAACGCGCTGCTCGGCAGCAAGCTGGTCTGGCGCACGGTGGACGCCATCTGGTACGCCGCCGGCGACACCGCCACCGACTACAACTACTACACCAAGCGNNGCCGGGGTCTACTCCTCGACCCTGCTCTACTGGCTGTCCGACCGTTCGGAGGGCCATGCCGCGACCTGGGACTTCCTCGACCGGCGCATCGGCGACGTGCTGAAGGTCGGCGGGCGCCTGGGCAAGTCGATCCAGCGTGCACTCGACGCCCCTAGCAGCCTGTTCGGGCGCCGCTCGCGCCTGCGCCCGCGGGTCTAGCGCGCTTTGCGACCGTCTGGACCCGCGCAGCGGTTCCGCCGGTCGCGAGACATCGCTCTCACTTTAATGTGCTCCAGCCTGAGACGCAGGGAGCCCTGAGACGCAGGGAGCCCTGAGATGCAGGGTAGGTTTCCTGTGATCGGCGGACCCGCGCGAGCGGGGCCGTGCGACCGCGGGCTGCACCGGAGCCGGAACGGAGAGCGAGTGGTGGCGCGCGCCGCCTGGCGGGGCGAGGGGCGTCCGGCCGCAGGCCGCTGCGGGGCCGGCCCTCAGAGGTAGATCATCTTGCGGGTCATGCCGCCGTCGATCACCAGGTCGGCGCCGGTGACGAAGGCCGCCTTGGCGGACAGCAGGTAGGCCACCGCCTCGGCCACGTCCTCGGGCCGGCCGACCCGGCCGGCCGGGTGCTGGGCGTGGTCCGCCGGGCTCAGCGGCTCGGGCGCGCGATCGCCGGGCTTGCCCCAGGCGCTGACGTCGATCCAGCCGGGGCTGACGCAGTTGGCCCGCACCTCCGGGCCCAGGGACACGGCCAGGGCGTGGGTCAGCGCCGCCAGGCCGCCCTTGCTGGCGGCATAGGCCTCGGTGTCCGGCTCCGACATCCGCGCGCGGGTCGAGGCGATGTTGACCAGGGCGCCGCGGGCCGCGCGCAGGTGAGGGGCCGTGTGGCGCGCCATCAGGAAGGCGCCGGTCAGGTTGACGTCGAGCACCCGCCGCCAGTCGGCCAGGGCCAGGTCCTCGACCGGCCCGGCGATCATGATCCCGGCATTGTTGACCAGGCCGTCGATCCGTCCGAAGGCCTCGCAGGCGGCGCCGACGGCGGCTTCGACCTGCGCCTCCTCGGCGACGTCGGCCACCTGGGTCGCGAGTGCGCCGCACGCGACCGCCTCGGCCAGCCCCGTGCGCAGCGCCGCGCAGGCCTCCGCGTCGCTGTCCAGGGCCAGCACGCGCCAGCCCTCGCGCAACAGCGTCTGGGTGCAGGCGCGCCCGATGCCCTGGGCGCCGCCGGTGACGATGGCGGCCCTGTGGGCGGCCCTGTGGGCGGCTCTGTGGGCGGGCGTGCTGGCGCTCTCGGTCATGCCGCTCTCCCCGGCTCTCGCGTCTCGGCGCGGTCGCGGCGGCCCGGCACGCGGGGCCGGATCAGCCGCGCGGCTGCAGCTTGGTGACGTGGCCCATCTTGCGCCCCGGTCGGGCCTCGGCCTTGCCGTAGAGATGCAGCCGCGCGCCCGGCTCGGCCAGGATCTCCGGCCAGCGGTTCGCCTCCTCGCCCAGCAGGTTCTTCATCACCGCATCGGCCAACCGCTCGGTCGAGCCCAACGGCAGCCCGCAGACGGCGCGCACCTGCTGCTCGAACTGGCTGGTGGCGCAGGCGTCCAGGGTCCAGTGGCCGGAGTTGTGCGGCCGCGGCGCCAGCTCGTTGACCACCACGCGCCCGTCGGTGGTCAGGAACATCTCCACCGCGATCACGCCGACCAGGTCGAGCGCCTCGGCGATGCGCCGGGCATAGGCTTCGGCGCGGTCGGCCGCGTCCTGCGGGATGCGCGCCGGCGCGATGGTTTGGTCCAGGATGTGGTTGCGGTGCTGGTTCTCCACCGGCACGTAGGTGGCGATGTGACCGTCCAGGCTGCGCGCAACCACCACCGAGAGTTCCAGCCGGAAGTCGACGAAGGCCTCCAGAATGCCGACCGGCTCGGCCGCGTGGCTGGCGATCTCCGCCCAGGCGGCCTCGGCCGCGGACTCGGCGCGCACCAGCGCCTGACCCTTGCCGTCGTAGCCGAACTCGGTGGTCTTGAGCACCGCCGGGGCGCCCAGGTCGCGCAGCGCGCGGCGCAGCCCGTCGGGGTCGCGCACCTCGGCATAGCGCGTCGTCGCCACCCCGATGGAGGCCAGGAAGTCCTTCTCGCGCAGGCGGTTCTGGCAGATCCGCAGGACCTGCGGGCCGGGACGCACCGGGCGGCGTTCGGCCAGGAAGGCGGCGGTGGCGGCCGGCACGTTCTCGAACTCGAAGGTGACCACGTCGACCGCGTCGGCGAAGGCTGCCAGGGCCGCCTCGTCGTCGTAGGCGGCGACGGTGGAGCGGTTGGTGACCTGGTGCGCCGGCCCGTCGGCGCCCGGCCCGAAGACGTGGCAGCGGTAGCCCAGGCGGGCGGCGGCCAGGGCGGCCATGCGGCCGAGCTGGCCGTCGCCCAGCATGCCGATCACGGAACCGGGCGGGAGCGGGGCGGGGCGGCTGTCGGTCATGGCAGGCTGCGGTCCAAGGGGGGCGCGGGCATCAGGCGGCGGGGCGGGGCGGGGCGGACAACGGCCGGGGGCGGGCGGTTATGGCGCCGGCTCGTCCACCGGCACCTCGGCCACGCCCTCGGTCTGACGGGCGCGGAAGGCGTCGAGGGCCTCGGCCACGCGGTCGTCGCCCAGGGCGATCACCGCCGCCGCCAGCAGCCCGGCGTTCTTGGCGCCGGGGCTGCCGATCGCCAGGGTGCCGACCGGCACGCCGCCGGGCATCTGCACGATCGACAGCAGGGAATCCAGGCCGCTGAGGGCCTTGCTCTCGACCGGCACGCCGAAGACCGGCAGCGGCGTGTTGGCCGCGACCATGCCGGGCAAGTGGGCGGCGCCGCCGGCGCCGGCGACGATCACCTGGAGGCCGCGCGTGCGGGCGTTGCGGGCGTAGTCGCGCAGCCGTTCCGGCGTGCGGTGGGCCGAGACGATTCGCGCCTCGTAGGTGACCCCCAGGGCCTCCAGCGTTTCCGCGGCGTGGCGCAGGGTCGGCCAGTCCGACTGGCTGCCCATGATCACGCCGACCTGCGGCTTCGTCTCGGCCATTTCTCTTTGTCCCGGTCCGATTGCGCGCCCCGTGGCCCGGGACGCTGTCGCGAAAGGCGGCGATTATTCAGATCGCCGCGATCCAGGGCAAGGCTTGCGGCCCCCTCGTGCGGATTTGAAGAAAACCTTTACCATTCACGGCCTAGGCTTCCAGGCAGGAAGGTGCCGTGCCGGTGGCGCGGCATCGCATGGAGGGCAGGTTCGGGCGAACGGCAGGTCCCATGAAAATCAGCAATTCCACGGGCCCGCGCGGTCCCGCCAGGACGGGAGCGGCGAGCGGCGTCTCGGGGGTGCGCTCGAGCGATGCGATTGGATCCACGGGCGCCGTGGGCGGCACCGGCCGGGTCGGCGCGCCGCAGGATGCCGCCTCGATCCTCGGCCTGTCCGAGGCGGAGCTGACGCCGAAGGTCCGCGCCGCCCTCGACCAGCTCATCGGCGAGGTCGCCCGCCTGCGCGAGGAGCTGGACCGCGCCAAGCGGCGCGTCAGCCATCTGGAGGAGCTGGCCGACCAGGACACCCTGGTGCCGATCGCCAACCGCCGCGCCTTCGTGCGCGAGCTCACCCGCCTGATGGCCTTCGCCGAGCGCTACGACGCGCCCGGCGCGGTGATCTACTTCGACGTCAACGGCATGAAGCAGATCAACGACAGCTTCGGCCATCCGGCCGGCGACGCGGCGCTGAAGCATGTCGCCGAGATCCTGCTGCGTCACACCCGCAGCTCCGACGTGGTCGGGCGGCTGGGCGGCGACGAGTTCGGCGTGATCCTGGCTCAGATCGAAGAGGAGATGGCGGTCGGCAAGGCCCAGGAGCTGACCGACGCGATCATCTCGGAGCCGGCGGTGTGGAACGGCCACGAGCTGGAGGTGGGAGTCGCCTTCGGCGTCTACGCCTTCTCCGGCAAGGAGCATGTCGACGAGGCGTTGTCCGCCGCCGACCAGCGGATGTACGCGCACAAGCGCAGCAAGCTCGCCACCGCCGGCGAGTAGGGCGCGGCGCGCCGTCCCGCGCGCCCTTTCCGGCGAATCCGCCGGCGCGCCGGGCTCAGGCGATGATGTCGGGCAGCAGCAACCCCTCGATCCGCAGAATCTCGTCCTTCAGCGCCAGCTTGCGCTTCTTCAGGCGCTTGACCTTCAACTGGTCGAAGGGCGCCGCTTCGCCGACCCGGGCGATCACGTCGTCAAGATCTCGGTGCTCGCACTTCAGCTCCTCGAGCTGGGCTTTCAGCCGTTCCTTCTCCGCCTCGTTGAGACGCATGGCCTGCCGATCCATCGTTTGCCGGTCCTGATGCCGGGCAAGAATAGCACGCGGACGCGCCGCTGCGCAGACTTGTCGCGCGCCGGCGCATGCCCGAGACTCCGGCTGTGTGCAAAACCGGAGGTTGGCGCAACGGCATGGCGGACATTCGACGCATCGGACTCCTGACCAGCGGCGGCGACTGCGCCGGCCTGAACGCCGTCATCCGGGCGGTGGTGCAGCGCGCGGTCTACGGCTACGGCTGGGACGTGGTCGGCATCTACAAGGGCACCGCCGGCCTGCTGGCCCGCCCGGTCGAGGCGGAGGTGCTGAACCTCAAGCGCTTCACCGGCGGGCTGCTTCGCATGGCCGGCACGGTGCTGGGCACCACCAACAAGGGCAACCCCTTCGCCTATCCCATGCCGGACGGCAGCAAGGTCGACCGCTCCGAGGAGATCATCGAGGGGGTGCGTCAGCTCGACCTGGACGCGGTGATCGGCATCGGCGGCGACGGCTCGCTGGCGATCCTGCGCCGCCTCGCCCAGCAGGGCGACATCCCGCTGGTCGCCATTCCCAAGACGATCGACAACGACCTGGGCGACACGGAGGTGGCGATCGGCCATGACACGGCGGTGGAGGTGGCGACCGAGGCGCTGGACCACCTGCAGCCCACGGCCGCCAGCCACGACCGGGTCATGGTGCTGGAGGTGATGGGACGCGACGCCGGCCATATCGCGCTGTCGGCCGGCATCGCCGGCGGCGCCGACGTGATCCTAATCCCCGAGATTCCCTACGCGATCGACAGCATCGCTCGGAAGATCGACGAGCTGCGCAAGGTGGGGCGCAACTTCGCCCTGGTGGTGGTCGCCGAGGCGGTGCGCACCGAGGCCGGCGAGCCGGTCGGCGAGACCAAGCTGAGCGGCGGCGTGCAGTACGGCGGCATCGGCCACTACATCGGCCGGCGCATCGCCGAGGCGACCGGTGCCGAGACGCGGGTCACCGTGCTGGGCCACCTGCAGCGCGGCGGCACGCCGACGCCGCGCGACCGCCTGATGGCTTCCAGCTTCGGGGTGCACGCGGTCGACCTGATCGCGGAGGGGCGCTTCGACCGGATGGTCGCCTGGTCGGGCCGCCGGGTGATCGACGTGCCGATCGCGGAGGCGATCGAGTCCTATCACGCCGTGGCGACCGACGGCGCCCTGGTGCGTACCGCGCGCGGCATCGGCATCTCCTTCGGCGATGACTAGCGGCCGCATGGCGCCCGACTGCGCCTCCCAGGACTCGCCGTTCTGGCGTTTTTCGCTGGCGGTCTACGGCCGGCCCGGCGTGCCCGAAGCCTGCCTGACCCTGCAGGACCTGCGCGGCCTCGACGTCAACCTGCTGCTGTTCGCCTGCTTCGCCGGGGGGCGCGGCGCGGTGCTGACCCCGCAACACCTGGAGATGCTGGGCACGGCGGTCGCCGCCTGGCACGAGCAGGTGGTGCGGCCGCTGCGCGGCGCCCGGCGTTGGATGAAGACCCGGCCGCTGGACGCGGCGCAGCGCGGCTTGCGCGAAGAGATCAAGCGGCTGGAGCTGGAGGCCGAGCGGCTGGAGCAGGAGGCGCTCTGGGCGGCCCTGCCGCTGCCGGCCGGCGCGCCCGACCGCCGCGCCGTCGCCCAGAACCTCAGCCTGGTCGTGCTCGACCGCGCCGATCTGGCCGGTGGCGCCGACGTGGACGCCTTGGAGACCCTGACCGAGGCCAGCCTGGCGGTTGCGGGCGCGCAGACGCAAGAGGCCGGGGGAGGAGGCGAGAGCGGCGTGTAATCGTCTGGACCCGCGAAGGCGCGTCCAGACGGTCGCAAATCACTCTACCCCTTGCGCGCGCGCCTGGGCGCCCGCACCACCTGGCCGTCGGCGTCGGGCTCGCCCCAACGGGTGACCAGCGGCGACTCCAGGTCGAAGAGGTCGAGCACGCGGCCGACCGACTGGTCGACCAGGTCCCCGATCGTCTGCGGGTTGGCGTAGAAGGCCGGGACCGGCGGGGCGATCACCGCGCCCATTTCCGACAGCGCCAGGGCGTTGCGCAGATGGCCGCTGTGCAGCGGCGTCTCGCGCAGCATCAGCACCAGGCGCCGCCGCTCCTTCAGGGTGACGTCGGCGGCGCGGGTCAGCAGGGTGGAGGTGGCGCCGCTGGCAATCTCCGACATGGAGCGGACCGAGCAGGGGGCGACGATCATGCCCAGGGTCTTGAAGGACCCGCTGGAGATCGCCGCGCCGATGTCCTCGATCGGGTAGACCACGTCGGCCAGCGCCCGCAGGTCGCGCAGTTTCAAGTCGGTTTCGTAGGCCAGGGTGACCTCCGCCGACCTGCTCACCACCAGGTGGCTTTCCACCGGCAGCGCGCGCAGCGCCTCCAGCAGGCGCAGGCCGTAGACCACGCCGCTGGCGCCGCTGATTCCGACGATCAGCCGCTGCGGCCTTTCGCCCCGGTGCTCCTGGCGGTGCGACACCTCGAACTCCCCTTCGCGCATTACCATTTCTGAAATGGGTTGGCGGACAGACTCGCCAAGGAGCCACCTTGAGGCCGGCGTGAAGGAGCCTTGGCAAGGGCAGCTTTGAGGGCTAGCATATTTTCCATAACCGGTAGAAGGAGACGACGTATGTCGGTGCACGACCGGATCGAGTCCCTGCGCAGCCAACACGCGCTTCTGGACGACGCCATCCGAGAAGAGAGCCATCGACCCCATCCCGACGAACTCCGACTCCACGAACTCAAGCGCGAAAAGCTCAGGCTGAAGGACGAAATCGCCCAGATGGCGGCCCAGCTGCCACGGGTCGAGTTCGAACTGCGCGCCTGACGCGCCTCTCGGCCGGCCGCTGAGCCGCGCGCCGGCCGCGCCTTTTCAGACCTCCGCGCCCTGTCCGAAGGTTGCCGGCGGCTTGGCGGCCTTCGGTACGCGGGGGCCGAGCGCCGCCGAAGCCGGGCGGTCCCGCCGCCCGGCCAGCGGCTTTCTTGGTGCCGCCGTCCGGGCCGCCCGCGGCTTGCCATCTTCGCGGCGGAAAATTCAACCATAGATCGACTGACCGCGCCGCCGTGCCCGCCCGTCACTCGGCGCGGGCCTGGTCGCGCAGCACGAACTTCTGGATCTT